AGTAGTCATGGCTAGGTCAAGTTATGCAGAAAAAATGCTAGTTCATTTAAATGACACTGGCACATGCCTTCATGGAGAGATCCAACATAAAGACTTAAGACTAGGATAAAGGACGCTATTAAGGTATGCGTAAGTAATGGTGAATTCACTTAATGTGCAACTTTACCATTCTGCTACAACTCATTGGGTGTCAGTGGATTACGGTGCTTGTCGGCTATAGGCAAGCCAGGACTCCCAATTCAAGCTATATATGGATTATTTACAATGTAAATTTATTTGCTATTGCTATCTATTATATTATTTACATACGTTGTAAATAATTTTCAAGACTATAAGTAGTTGTTGAATATGAACGTATGCCACTAGTTCACTTAAAGTAATTAAGGGCTTAAATGCAATGGCAAATACTAGTTTATCGAAATTCATACAGTAACCGTGAATGTATAGGAGCCCTTTGATTCACCGACATTCTTGTCTATATGTTCAATATGCATACGACTTGATTTAGAATATCTTCTGGAATTAATGATGAGTCATGGATGAGGCCGAACCTATGGTCTTCCCTGGTTGAGAGACATGTGGCCTCATTTTATTTCATCTTAAACATGCTAGAGTGACTTTAATTCTTATTCTATCCCTTGTTTTAAACCACTCTACGTTTTTATTTACTTGTTACCTCAGAATCAGAAACTAATAATCAAATCTTCCATGATCATGGACTTAATTTGGCTTCTCAAGTTTATTGTGCTTTTGCATCACTAGTTTCAGTTCGGTTTTTTGTACTACTAATGGCTAGACTAGCTTGATCTCCACTTCTGGAAAATGTCGGATTGCTCTCATTGGATATTTTTTTCTTCTATCCATTATATTTGCATTCTATTCTAGAAGCTACCTAGACCTTGGGTAACGTATTTATGTAGTCTCGAAAGCCTACTTACATACGAATATAACGTATTTATGTTATCTCTATACTTTTTCATTAGAAAATGGTCTCGTCGTGAGGAGGCTGATTTTTATCGTGTCGTATCTAGCTACGGGGTTGATTATCGTCGTTTGGATGGTCTTGATCTCAGCAGTGATGAACTAACAATGACTACTGCCTCAGGGACGCCTCTACCTTTGCCTCTGCCTTTGGGCCCGAGCTCAAAAGTTGTGGGTGAACAACCGGACGGCGAGTACAATTGGATTGCCTTTCGGCAAGCGGCAAACCTAATGCGCAAATCGGATGCTGCTATTACGAATTACTTCCATGCCTTCTATCAAATGTGTCAACGTGTCTGTCGCAAAACTTCCGCTAAGGGTACAGATTGATTCTTACATAAAATTATATTTTGTTTTTTTTAGTTTATATAAAGATTTTATGCGTGAGAGCTCTACCACTAAAAATTTTCTTTAGATCATTCCGTCATATCTTTTATACTATTTACTGTGCTCAAATCTCAAGGGCTAATATTTGCTGCTTTGCTCATACCATCTTTTCGATGTGCTGAACCATTTATGAGTTGTTTTGGCTGATGGCAAAGACCAAATTATTCTTTTCCTGTAGGCGGTAACGTCACCTTTTAATATGTTTGTCTACTATTGATTTTGAATGCCACTACAGATTATTTATGTGCAGAGGTTTGCATGATTTTTTCCTTTGGATTATTTCTCTGGCATGGCTGGTATTCATTTATTTCGTTTTCTGGTCAGCATTACTTCAGTTTCGATTGTCCTGCTCCAATAAAATATATGGCATATTTTCTATCCTTTTTCTGCTTAAAAGCCCTTGTCTCATACGGATTGCCGACAGCCTCATCTGGCCCACTTTTAATGAAGTTAAGTAATTGCAGGTTTACATCGAATTGCACGCTATGTATGCCTGCTATCCTGACTGATGACTCATTGCGCCCATATATCTTCATTTTTATATTTGTGACCATGCCTACATTTGTTTGCTTGCTTTAACAAGCTACTACCATCACAGCTATGCTACCTATTCTTCCTATCATTCATTAATTTCCTTTCTTTCCCCGTGGCACGCAGGTTTTCTTCTCTTCCTCTCTTCTCTCTCGTTCTCTCTCTTATCTCTATTGGAGTTTTATCTAGTATTCACAATCAGGCGCCCTAGTCTTTTGCATTCGTGAATCAATATGAATCTTTGACTAGCTGGTCAATTTACCTTGCCTTTTTTTCATTCACGCGCTCGCGTGTTCTCTTTCCATGTTGAAGGTCATAAAGCTTTAGAAAGTTGATTATAGATGCCTTACGTTTAGATCTTTTAATCCTGACACAAGCTTGCCTCTTTCCCGATATTTACGTCTGTGTCTTGCTCTACTGATTGGACGGGAGGCTTAAAACGATCAGTCCCCTTCGCAAGCTTCTCTCTTTCCACTTAAACCTGTACTTGGCTGTTTTCGTTATCAATACTACTGTTTCGTCTCTCTTTCGATTGGTTAAAATCAATCACTCACCGTGGAGACAGGCACTTACACTGGATGTCACAAGCTTAGATGTTAAAGAATTTTTTTCTTGCCCACTTATTCTTTGCATCCGTTTCCTCCTGCTGCCCCTATTCCCGCCCCCTAATCGCCTTGGTCCCATTTCCATGCATTGCCTGTGGTATTGGTCAAACGATTAGGCCAAGTTGCAGTGGGCCTTGGCCGTCTGGGTATAGTAATCCTTCTCTTTTGTTCCTTTTGTGAAACCCGATTGAATCCAAAAGAGAAGCACAACCTGTATTGGTTGATTACGTCTGGCTCTATGTAGTGAGTATAATCATTTATGCGCCTATTACTTCCATGCACGCGTATGTGCATGCATATTTCATGTCTATTAATCAATGAGAATCTCTGAGCGCCGTGTTTATGTGCTTATAGTTTTCTGTTCGCATACATATATGCACCTATATACATATAATTCTGTATGATTGTTTCTCAGTGACATTTTTGTGGACATTATTCTTTTAACTAGGTACGGGACGAGGCAAAAAGATTTGAGCTCATTCTGATTGGTTGCGTGTTTAAGTTTGCTGCATACCTTATATTAATTCTGCTTGTTTCATCTCCCACCCGTTTATGGGTTTTGCACTCGCGCTTGTTTTAAGTAGGTATCTGCATAGAAATGTGACAAGGCGTGTAGACAGCTTTAACGGCAAGTTTTTGGCTTCTATATGCCGTGAACCATAGATAATGTCATTTTTAACTTAATCTGAAATCACATAGATTGCTTGACTAATTTTTGACGATGATTAGTAAGTTATTATCAATCTTTAATTTGAGTTTGGATCTACACTTAGATTTATTAGCTTGATTGAAAATTTTCCTCTGCTTCTTTGTATTAAATTTTTTAATATATCTACTTTCCCTTATTTACCTTGACAGCGCTCAACATTCCATTTTTTATGTAGTGATTTATACACATGCAAATGCGCTTCATTGTAACACCATTGCTCCTTTAAACAGACCAATTCCCCGTATCGATAAGTTAAATTCTCATAGTAATTGTCGATAAACACTGTTGAATTTTCTGGCTTCTTGTAATCCTAATTATTTCATGAAATATTTGCCCAGTACCTACATTAATTTGCTTGTAGATTTACCGTTAGAATATCTCGTTTATATTACGGGGCCATCAATCCTTCATTCAAACAGGAATAATCTTCCATTTAAAACCATCATTTATTGTATATTACTATTTTGAATCAAAGGACTTTGCTATAGTTTATTTTGGCTTAATTAGTTGTTCGTTTTAGCTTCGAGAAGAGACATTCCGCATTCACACTTCCTATTTCATTGCTTCGATAAAGTCCTTTTACTACAATTTTTTAAAGATAATCACATCTATTCGCTCTGTAAAAGGCTATTTGTCTGAATTTACGATTTCACTAAATATGCTAGTTATATCGCTAAACTTTTACCTTATTGAGAATAAGCCATTCTATAGGAAAATGTTGGAATACATTTAATTTCGTTCGAAGAGGCGAGTGGAAGGGATTCATAAATTGGTTCCACCGGAAGCTATGAAGGGATTTCCTTTGAGCTGTGATGTTAGATTTGTGCGAATAGGT